AAACTAAAAGAACAAAAAAGAGAGATAGAAAATATTAATCAAACCTATTGCTTCAAAAAATATTAGAAAGACTAGATATGTTAGAAAGCAGACCAATAGTTTCTCCTAATATAAATAAAAATCTCCAAATTTCTTCTAAAATTCGTCATGAGTATTAACAAGAGTAGAAGCATGCTTATTAGCTTGTATAAAGAAAACAAAGAAACAAACAATCAATTTAATTTTAGAATAACATGTTACAAAATTACAAGATTAAAAGTGAAGAACATATTAAATTAATAGAGCTGTTAGAATGGCTAAAGATGAAAATATTAGTATAATAGAAATAGCAGAGTTAAATATTTAAATAAAGAGAAACAGTATTTAGTCAAAGAAGTTTCAGAAAATTAATTTATAAGCTTCTAGTCAGATGCAAATAATGACAAAAAAAAAGGCTTAGAGTAGGATTATTAGTAATAAAGGACTAGGCAGAACATGTAGCAAGAGTCATATATATAGATGAATATATGATAAAATTAATACTCTTCTTTAACATATCCACCAATTTGGTTTTTAGGAACATAATTTAAATAGAGAAAACCCAATTTTAATATGATCTGATCAAAACAGTACCCCAAAATTAAGATCAAATTAACTGACGCACATCATTTTACTATATCTTATTCACGTTCAACCGATCGTTCGTGGGGTCAACTGATCATTTAAACAATAGGTATGTATTATAGCAAGCATTTATTATTAATGAAATCTTTAAAACTAACTGGTATATAAGGCTTATACTTTTTATTATACTATTAATTTTCAAAAGTTTAAAATGCCTACTGCAAGTACTTTAATTTGTTTTTGTTATACAATTTGCGATAGTAAAAGAACCTTTAAATCAAAAGCTGGATTGCAACGACATGAAAGTTTGAAACATAGTAATTATAAGAAAATTTCTGCACATATTTTGTTAATTCCAGAACATGAATTACAACATATCAAAAATACCATGATAAAAGAGCTACAAAACCAGTTAAAAATCATTACTCAAAAGTTGAAAACCAGGTTTTTTCAATTCATTGCAGTGAAAATAGTTTGTTGGCATTTTTGGTTAATATTTAACTCAGTATTTCGTTTGCAGGGGTTGGTATCAATGTTTTTTTGATGGAGAAGAAGCAATCGATCAATTAACAGAAATATTCAGAGATAATCAATGGACAGAAAGAAATTACGGGAATGGACAATTATCATGGATCAAATTATATGAAAATGAAACAGACCAAGCTACATCAAAATCAAAATTTAAACCAAAAAAAAAATTTCATTTAGAAAAAGGATTACTAATTGAATAGGAAATGAGAGGATTTAGTGACAAGTCTGAACATCGTTGTAAAAGTGGTGAAGTAACTTTTAGATTCATAGTTGATCAAGGTCAGTTTTAGAATAGTTTATTTTTTTTTTTGTATTCTCATTACTATATCAGGTGTACACTGGGTTCTTTGTGTATAAATAAAAATTTTTTACTTATATTCAAAATACTCAGTGTTTTAATCGTTATTAATTTTTAAAATCTTCGTTCTAATAAAAGTTAATAAATTACAAATACCCTTTTAATTTTATTAGTTCTTAGTTACTGTAATAAACATGTGTTAGAATACTTAACAAATTTTTTACTCTTATAATTAAAGACAGATTATTTTAGTATAGAGGCAAATTGTCTCAAAGCAAAAACATGAAGTTTATAATGAATGGTTGGTTTTTTTTATTTTTTTTTTATGGGGCTTATTATACTAACACACCACTTTATATTTGATTTTCTAGATTGCTATTCTTTAACTGGTTATTCAAAAAATCTATTACTGGTACTACAAAAATCCAAACCTGTTAATGAATTTTTTATTTTTTTTTTTTAACAACATTTTGATTTTTTTTTTAATACACACTCATATCAACAAAACATTACCCAACGTATGAAAGATCTTATGGATAGTTATGGGAAGAGTGTTTCAAATTGTTAAATTATTTGTAAAGATTAGTAATTAAGATTTATTTGATTATAATCTATTCATTTTGTTTTAGCAACTTTTCGTTGATTATTTCTTTTAGCAGCTGAGAGTTCAGTTAGTTTGAAATTTGATAAATACTAGATCAAGTGCGATGATGATAAAATTCTATCTTTCAGGTTTGATATATTGACTTTTTAATGCAGCACACATAGTTTAATGTTTATTGTTGCGGCTAAAGCTAGAAATTAGAGACTTCGATCTAAAAATACAAACTCTACCAAAATTTGCTTATACTCTTTCATTATCAAAACTAACCCTAAACCTTAACCTAACTATTTAAAAAAAACTAAGAAAATGCACTACAAAAAATTTTTGAAAATTTCATATTAAAATAATTAAAATTGCTGTTTCTAGCTTCAGCCACAACATTTATTAAATTAGTATTTGTTATTTTAAGACAGGAATATTATGCAATATTTTGATAGATCTGACCTGTGCGATACTTATTCGAATTCATCAAGTGTCAGTTCCTAAAGTTCAAGAAAAGCCACTTTTTTAATATGTATCAGTTCCTGGAGCACAAGAAAAGCCACTTTTTTAATTTATGAAATCCATTTAATATGTGATAATATATAATTTTCTATTATTTTTTGGTTTTGTTTTTCATAGAAATAATTTGATTAATTAAATTGAACAAACTATAGAAAGCAGAATTAGGCATTACAAAATTATATACATGGTTTTAAAATCATGGAACAGTGGTTGGTGACCCGGCTGCACGGCTTTTTTTTTTATAGCAAAAAAAAAATTTTTTTTTAATTTTTTTTATAACAAAATATTTATTTTGTTAAATTAGTCCTTTTATCATTAAACTAGAGTGATGGGTAGCACATTCATGCAACCCATCTTATTTAACATTTTTTTTATTCATATTTGTAATTTACCATAAACAATTCTATTATAGAACTCATAACTATTACAATACACATGATATGTGGTTTGAGTTTATATCAGAATTATTATAGCTTCTATTATGATTTCCTATAAAGAATTCTGATACAGAATCTACTCACTAATGCGATATATAATAGTCAAGATCCAGTTAGTTTGTATTAGAATAACATGATTTCTACTATGAATTAGTGTAAAAAACTTAATCGCTATTCTGGTTACTGTAAAAATTCTGTTACAGAACTTATTTGCTACTTAGGTGGCCACAGCATGTATTAAGGTTGGGTAGTTTGCATTAAAATGATTGTGATTCTTATCATGAGTTGTTGTAAAAATTCTATTACAGCACTTACTCACTTTTCCAAAGACTATACTATGTGGTTAATGTTGATTAATTTGCATTGGAATAATTATGTTTTCTATCATTAATTACTGTAAACTTTCTGTTGCAGAAAGCATGTAAAACAAATAAAACCAAGTAGAAACTCAGCTTTTATTTTTAAAGTAAATTGTATAATATAAGCAATATAAATATCTTGCGCATTTAGAGTAATAAAAAGGTAACACAATCTTGTATAAATCAAAAGAACATTATATTATACTATCACATGATATTGAATAGAGAATTTAATTGGCTAACTACATTAAAAAAAATTTCCAAACCCAACTTTGGTGACCCGGCCGTGATATGAAAACTATAGATGCTGAAATTAAATCAGAGTGGTGAAATGATTTCACCATTTCACCAATCACCACTTGGTAATGGTGTAACTGGTGTAACTGGTGAATTGGTGTAATTAGTAAAATTGGTGAATTGGTGAATTGATGAAATCGTGAAATTGTAAAAATGGCAGAATCTGGAATTATTTCAGCCTTTATTTTTGTTTAAGTTTACATTTTATATTTTTATCATACACTTAGAAGTCAGAACTGTTAACTGTTTATCTGTATAACTATACAGCATAATATATATCTAGATACCATAAATGCCTTATAAATAATAACCTTTATCCAAAATATTTAAAAAAGATCTGCAGGTATCTGTGAATATCTGGACATAACTAATCAAAAAGTGAGAGCTATTTTTCCATAAGAATTTTATAAACCCTACATATTTATTACTATGGTAATATGCAGGTTCATCTACATAAATAAATTAATATAAATCTTGTTTTCAAATTGAAGGTATTCATAATTAACTTACTTCGAAAATAAGTGGGTACAAAAATGCCTCATTTCTGTTTGAAATCAAAAAATAAAATAGAAGTTATCTGAGTACAATCTCAACATAAGACTTGATAATTTTTTCACGAATAATAAGATATCGATCAATTCAATTATTCGAACAGTCTATCAATTTCTTTTTCGAGAATATTAGATATATTTCTATAGATGCTATTAGATTATTTTTCTATTAGTACTTCTAAAATACTATTTATAGTTTTAATATGTAATGGTTGATCAGAAATATAAGGCATATATGTGAAAGATCAAATCAAACTAAATTTGATTTGATCAAATTCAAATTAGATAATTATTTGATTTGAATTTGATTATCAATATTTGATTTGATCAATTTGAATTATTTGATAACTTCGAATCTAAATAGATAAGTATTTTTTTTTACAGCTATTTTGTAATTCCTGTAACTTATATAATGATTGTTTTACAGATCGTTAAACATTAATATCAAAAAATTAACCCGGAAGATTCAGATAATGACGGTCCTCTAACGCTTAACCTGAGGGCTTCTGAGTCTTGCGGAGCCGTGCAAGCC